CAAGTGGTAGAGCGCTAGCCTTGAGCTGAAGAGCTGAGGGACAGCGCCCAGGCCCAGAGTTCAGGCTCCACAACCGGACCCAAAAAAAAAACCAAAAACCAATATATGGAATTTTTCTTTTTTTGTATGAGTTAACTGAAAGATATAAGCAAATACTGTAAAACTGTATAGAAACGAATGTTCCTGAAATCATAAAACTATATTTAAATCTTGGGTTAAGGGAGGAAGTGTTAGATTAAGAGACGATTAGGACATGGAAAGTAATAGAAGTGATAGAAGGTGGAGGTGAAAGGTTTGATCAGGAGGGCACAAATCACCAGGCTGAGCTCTCTCCCACATATTTTGAGGCGCTATAATTAAATCAAGTTTCCTTTCAGGACCATTCTGATAGGCCCAGTGCTATTTCAGAGCCACTTGATATCTGCTCACTGAGTGTATTTATGATTCCTATGTCCTGGGAGAGAGGTTTCTTCAAGAAATGATCAAAGATGTAAGACTACGGAGCTTCTGAGATGCTTATCACATGCAAGTGTCCAGAAGTAGGCCCAGAGAGGAAAATGGAACCCCTATGCCCCTTCCTGGGGAGCCACTCCCCATGCCTCTCTTCTGACTTGTTCCCTCTGCAGTCCCTTTCTCACAAGTCAGTATAGGTTTTCAAAAAGATTTTAATACAACAGGCTAATTTTAGCAGTATTAAACACTTTATTGAAACCAATGCAACATAGCAAGGCCAAAAATACACAAGAACATCTAGAATATTTTATCTAGAATACAGAAAGTAAAATGTGGAATTAAAACGACAAATATAACTGATCTAGAAGTTATATTAGACAAGACAAAAATATTTTCATTTTGAGAAACAATCCCTGGTCAAATACCATATCCTCAAATTCCAGTCTGTTTCTAAGAATATACTTCTTAAGCTAGAAAGAGGAAAATTCCTTTGATTAGATGGATCATCCAGCAATTTTTGCAGCCAGACATGTAGCTCATGCCTATAATCTTAACTACTTAGGATGATAAGACCTAAGGATGATAGTTCAAAGCCAGGCTGAGCAGGAAAGTCTGTGAGACTCCAGAAAAAAAAAGCCAGAAGTGGAACTGTGGCTCAAGTGGTAGAGTGCCAGCCTTGCATAAAAGAGCTAAGGGACAGTGCCCAGGCCCTGAGTTCATACACCCCTACAGGAACACACACACAGACACACACACATAAAACATAGTCTTGATACTAAAGTTAGGCATTGCTTTCATGTGGCTAGTGCCTTAGTCTGAGAAAAAAAAACTAATAATTGACCAAAATGGGTTTCCCTTAAATACTTAGAATAAGTCATTCTTTGCTAGACACTTCAGAGGACTACCTAAGTTGTTTACTTGTATAAGAATTATGATAGTAATTTTTACTCCTTGAGTTTAGGGTCTGGATGCTTTTTTGTTATATTTTTATTGACTTTGTTGGGTTAAGAAAATTTTCTTTATATGACAAACTGACTTTATATTACATCTACCTTTCCTAGGAATCGCATTTTTATTGATGGATGCTAAAGAATGTATTATGTCAGCTGAAGAAATATTTCTAAACAAAATTGAGAAGTTTATTAGTCTTCACCGAAATAGTTTTTTGGTTCTGTCTGCTACACTCCATGGGCCTCCGGAATGGGAACTGATGTTTAGGATTCAGCAGAGGTAGGGAAGAATAGCACTATGGACTTATTTTTCATATTATGGTTATTTGTTTTCAATTATTTTAGGTTTTATTTTGCTAGAAGGTAAACATAATATAAGCTTTCATATTTAATGAAACACAGTTATTCTGTGAATCAGGATGGCTAGAGTTCATGTTGATTTATGGGCCTCTCCTGTTAAGACCAAATGAAATGAATACTTTTTCTGTCATTTAAGCGCCATAGACATCTCAGATCTCTAAAGCATAATGCAGGGCATGAATGATTAAACATACAACTAATAAAAATGTTTTTAAAAGAAAAATGATCTGTATAACAATTTTTTTTCAGATTCCTGGGAAGTAACTTACGGATCCTTCCAGTACACAACATAGTAAATGCTATTAATATTATGTGTACTATAGCTAAGGTAAGTCACTGGGGAAAAGTCATTCATACACAAATATTTGTTTCTTACTTCAAGATGTATAAACTCTTAGCAGGATTGTCAAATATCCTGTTTCTGTTTACTCCAGAGAAGTTATGTTTTATGCATGTAACACTCCCAAGCCTGAACTCAATCTCTCAAGAGTTCTTAATTTAGCTATCCATTTGCTTGTGACCAAAAGAACTTTCACCAATTACATGATTGTGCTGGCCCTTTTCCTTCAAATTCTGAAGTATAAACATTGCTCAGATTGCAGTCATGAGCCATCTGGGCATAAACATTTTATGGAATGTTCTTCACTAGTTTTTGACTTTTTATTCAGGCTTATCTTCCTTTGTGCCCAGACACCCCAACTCTCCTAGGCAGAGTTAGGTGTTCTTTATTCTACCCTTGGAACATGTCCTGTTGAAGCATTTAGAATGCCATTCTACCTTTTTGGCTTACACGTTTGAAATTCCTTGAAGATGGAGAACAGGTGTTTTCCTCTCCATACTCTAGCATGCACATACTTCTTAGCATATAGACGTCAAAGAGATATGTGCTGAATAAAGGGTTTTTTTAAATGTGATTCTGAAAAAAAATTGTTTCTGTGAATAATGCTATGTTTATATCTTCTTATAGACTACCTCTAAACCAAACATAGACACCATCTGCTATAGAATGATAACAACTAAAGCTTACATCATAGAGCAAAGCCCTGTTTGGAAAACACTTCAAAAGATAAAACTGAGTAGCGATTCAATTAGCCCAAACTAAATGTTAGTGATTCAATTAGCCCAATTATAAATGTTTTCTTTTGGAAAAATATTAAAGTTGTCTGTTATTGTTCAGATATGTGTTTAAAATGTTTATATTAAATAACATGTACAAGTAAAAGTGATTTTAGGAGTTCTGTCTGGTAATTCTTTTAATATTTAGAAAATAATTGGTACAGGAACTGGGGGAAAATAGCACTTGCCTAGCACACTCCCCAACACAGAAAAAATAAAAAAGGGAGAAAAGAAAATAATTGGTACATGCATATAAAATTCATGTAGTTTCTTTATTTTTGGGGGGGGGTCAGTCGGGGCTTGAACTGAACTCTGGGCCTGGGTGCTATCCCTCAGCTCTTCAGCTCAAAGCTAGTGCTCTACCACTTGAACCACAGCGCCACTTCTGGTTTTCTGGTGGTTTATTGGAGATAACAGTCTCACAGACTTTCCTGCCTGGATGGCTTTTAACCGGATGGCTTTTAACCGAGACCCTCAGGTCTCAGCCTCCTGAGTAGCTAGGATTATAGGCATGAGCCACCAGCGCCCAGCTCATTTAGTTTCTTTCTTTCCTTTTTTTTGGGGGGGAGGTCCGGTCGTGGGGCCTGAACTCTGGGCCTGGGCGCTGTCCCTCAGCTCAAGGCCAGCGCTCTACCACTTGAGCCACAGTGCCACTTCCGGCTTTTTTTCTTTTTGCTTATGTGGTGCTGAGGAATCGAACCCAGGGCCTCATGCATGCAAGGCAAGCACTCTACCACTGAGCCACCTTC